CTTTCAAATAAGTTGACCAGCCAATTTTCTCCTCATTATGAATGTTAAAGTCACGAAAATTTATTGTAAATATTATGTTAGTTGAATAGCTGAAGGTTCTGCTGAATTGCGCAATTTCAACACTCTAGTCCAAACTCAAATTGTAGCTGTTTACACAACCATTTCAATTTCAGTTTCGACGACAGTTTGTTGTTGTCAGGGTTCTTCAAAAAGTTTGACGTTTGTTTTTTTTTTCTTCATTTTATTCATTAATAATTCACATTACTCAATTTTAAGAATTGTGTTCGCGAAGTTGAAGCAATTTCGCTGCAATTTCAGGTGAGAGTTCTTTGTACGGCAAAATTTAGAATCGTATAGCAGTTTCAGCTGAAACTGAAAAGTTTGAAGAGAGCAGCTGTGGTTATATAGATATTCATAGTGCTAAATGTAAACTTTTAAAGTATTATATAAAACTGTGTGATGAAATACGTAAACGGTTTAATTTTGCTGCTAACAACTTAAAACTGTTAAAGTATTGTGACCCACAAATTATTCAAAAAGGTGATATGCATTATTTTACCGCTTCTTAAACAATATCCTTTTCTTGAGGGTATGGAAGAGTCGTCGAACAGCGAGTGGTGAAATTTGATCGTTTTTACAAATCCAAAGTTAAGGATTTGTTTCAAGATTACTTGGTCAAAGGTTGGACTACGCTAAAGAATGAAAAAAATTTATGTGATGAATTTATGTTTACTGAATTATCCGAATATGTATACATTCACTCACAGAAGTATTCGTAAATTAGACTTTTTACAATATTTAAAATGTTTTCCATCATAAATCTTTTTCGCTAATTTTCATTTAAAATAGAGCTCTTTCTATACCAAAAACCATATAAATCATTCTTCCAAACTTTGTACAAATTCATAAAAATGAATTAAACTTAAAAAAATGTTCAGCAAAATTTCAAACTTGTTATTCAGAGTTTTAAAAAAAAAATTTCGGTATGCAGTTTTGTAGCCCGTTCAATTTTAGTATAATAAAGTGCAAGTTTAAAGCAGCTGAAAATTACTGCTGATTTTTTAGAATTTTTTTTGTCGAGGGTATTGGGCATTTTCTTCCATATAAAAATGGATTTTGCCTTATATGGAAACAAATGCGCAACACCCTCGACAAAAAAATTCTAAAAAATCAGCGGTAACTTTTAGCTACTTGAAACTTGCACTTTACTATACTGAAACTGAGCGGGCTACAAAACTGCATACTGAAATTTTTTCTAAAAACTCTGAGTAAAAAGTTTAAAATTTTGATGCAAATTTTTTAAGTTTGATTCATATTTATGAATTTTGTACAAAGTTTGCAAGAATCATTTATATGGTTTTTGTTATAGAATGAGTTATGTTTCAAATGAAACAAAATGTTTCAAATGAAAAAGTAAAACATTTTGAATATTTTGAAAAAAAACTAAATTACGAATACTTTTGTGAGTGGCTGTATGTGCAATTTGGCAGTCCTTCCTCATAGCACTGCTGGTGCTGAAAGATTGTTTTCAGTAATAAATATAATTAAATCTTCGAAGTGAAATCGTCTTAGTGTGTTATCAGTGGAAAATCAAATTTTCACTAAAGAAATGTGTGATTTTGAAAATACTTACGTACCTTCGACAGACCTTATACCAGAGATGCTCAACAAACTATAGGGCTATTCGCGATCCGGTGCAAATGGCCTAGCATCATTGCATTGCAAATTTGTATTGCAAATTATTTGCAATACACAAACAAAATACACGCATTTGCATTTGTCATGGCTTGGCAAATTTGCAATACCGAAAATCCATAGCATAAAAATGCTATACATTGCATTCATAAACAAAACCAAAGCTGATGCACAAAAATTGTTTTGCAAAAGCTTTACGGTCGCTCACAATCCATGGCATATTTCTGCAATTGCATAAATTCGTCAGCTCGTATGCACTGAACCGCGAATAGCCCTTATATAAATAGATTTCGTTTCGTTAGCGAGCAAAAAAAACGTATCAAAATAACTTCGTTACGTTTCGGAGCTAAATTAACGAAACAAAACTCAATCGTTAACGTTTAAATGAAATAAATCAAGTTAAGGCAGAACTTGATAAAAACGCGTGATCGCAATAACGTTTCAAAAAGAATGACTTTATTTTCTGTAATTTCCAATTTAGTATAAATTCATAACTATTTAACAAAACTGTGTGCATAAGTATGAAGGTAAGTATGTACCAGGGTTGTTGCGAATATTCGCATTCGCATTCGCAACCGCGGAGCTTCCGCATTCATTTTAACATTCGCATTCGCAAAATTCAATACGGATCTTTTGCGAATGCGAATATTGAAGGGACCGAAAATTGCAGTTATTTTGTACGAGTTAAACTTGGCCAAGTATTTTTCATTCCGAAATAAAACTACTTTCCGGATAATAAACAAACCACTTATCCAAATTAAACAAGTTTGGTATCCAATGAAAGAGGACTTGAATAGCTTTAAAACTGAAATGTCTAAAAGAGGAAAGCCTCACATCAGGAGCGCACCCAGGAATACATTTTGGGAGGGGCTTTTACTTCTGAAAATTCAGATAATATGCTCTTTAAAGAATATTTATGCAAGTTTTCTGTACCGTATGTAATAAATAAATAAACTTTTTGAAGTTTCATAAATTGCACTTTACTTACATAAAATTAACAAAGTACTCAAACATTTTTAATCGACTTCAAAAAAGGGAGAGGTTATCAATTCGTCGGAATATGTTGTCCTTATTTTATGTGTGCTTCCGCATAATTTTGAACCACGATTGCAATAATTCTTTTTTTTATCGGTAGAGGGTACCGAAGGGTCGTCCGGTCGTTTGAAAATTACTCGTTTAATATAAAGTTCTATAAATACAAGATGCACTCAACTTTCAAAAGTAATAAAGAATGTTAAAAAAGAGTTTAATGTTCATTTTCATCGATCTCTGGTTTTCGATGCAGATGGTGATTTTTCACAATTTCCAAACTTTTTAGTATTGCGAATACCGGAAAAACTAACTGAACTTGTATTTTTATTATGTAGCTCATTTTCGTGGAACGAATTCGAAGTTGGCAAATTAATTCTTCGAATCCTTGTTAAGTACATATCAGTGGTAAACTCTTTTAGACTATAAAGTGTAAAAAAACAACAGTAAGTGAGTATGCATTGCATGTTTTTAGGACAATGTTTTCATTCGCAGTTAAACTATAAAGAGCTCTCAAGAAAAACGAAAAATTAATATAAAATGACGCACACGAAATGGAAAAGTAATTTTCTTCTATCAAAATTTCTTAACTCAGTTTGCAACTCTCAATAAGAAAATGCTCTCATATTTATTTATTCATGAAACAGAAATAATAAAAAATATTTCTTGTGATTTTTCTTCACAGCTGGATTTTAGGATTTAAGATATAGTTTGAATTTGAGGTTATTGGCTTTAGGGAGGGTTGGAACCCCAAAACCCACCCATTTTGTGTGCCTCACATTGAAAAATATTTAAATAAAAAATGTTAATTCATTACCATAGAACAAACATTGGGTCAGGTATGTATTTACACGAATTTCTTTAGTATTAAGTTATAAAAAATGTAAATAGAGCTGGTAACCGTCATTCGTTATTTCTGTTTAAAAGCTATTTCAGTCCTCTTTCATATGATACCAAATTTGTTTTATTTGGATAAGCGGTTTCTTTATTATCCGGATAGGACGTTTATTTCGTAATAAAAAATATTAGGCCAAATTTAACTCGGAAAAAATAACTGTTATTTTCGGTCCCTGGAATATTCCAATAAAAATTAATAAATATCACTGAAAGTCCTCTCAATTGGTGCGGTGTCAAACGAAAAGAATTTACAATTTTGCAAAGTTTAAAGTTTGTCGCCTCGAGCGAGTTGTTATATAGTGGCGCAGGTTTGATTTACGACCCTTCAAAAAGTTTTTATTAAGTACAATGTTCCAATTTTTAAATTCAAGTACTGAAAAAACATTCAGTCTTATCATGAGTTTAATTTTCCCCGAACCGGTTCACTTTTCACTTTTGGTACTGAAAAAACATTCAGTCTTATCATGAGTTTAATTTTCCCCGAACCGGTTCACTTTTCACTTTTGGTTTTCATGTACATATTTACTATGGGCGGAATACAAATTTTCCGACGAATTTTTTTTCGGGCAAAACTCAGGATAAGGCAGATTATTAAAAACTATTAACCTTTCCATTTGTTATTTACCCAAATCACCTAATTTACCCACCTAAATTATTTCTTAAAATACATGACATCCGCATTCGCATCCGCATCCGCGGATGTTAGCTTTTAAACATACGCATCCGCATTCGCATCCGCGGATGTCTAAAATTCCACAGTCGCAACATCCCTCGTAGGTACATAGAAAAGCTTATGTATGGAAATGAGTGCATATGTACAGATGTATAGGCAAACCCGCTTATGTACAAAGAATATGTTTGCAAAGAGGATGCGTTAAAATACCGCAAAGCTAATTAGCATTAGGGTGTGTGGGCGAATTCTCAACATCCTGCCCGGTCGAGGCACTGGACTCGAAATTATCGTCGTCGATGAGCCGGCACAGCTTCTGAACTGCCCGGGTTATCGTTGCATTCGCTGTCTGAAGAGTGGCGTTGCGGGTTAACCCATCACTTCCCGGATGTACTGCCGTAATTCGGCCTAATCGCCAATGCGTTGGAGGCAAATTTTCGTGCCTTACGAGAACGATGTCGCCTATTTTCGAATCGGTTGACCGTGTCTGCCATTTGTTGCGTATTTGTAGTGTGGATAAATATTCATCACTCCACCGTGTCCAAAAATGTTGGTGTAGTTGGCGCACCCAGAGCCAGTGCTTAAGGCGATATTGAAGTGACGTAGGCTTCACGAACTGCAACCAGTGGGGCACCCACGAGAAAGTCACCAGGGGTCAGTGCCAATTTATCGCCGGGATCGTCATATAACGGTGTGATCGGTCGGGAATTCAGGCACGCCTCAATCCGTTCGCCAATGTTTGAAGTTGGCTATGCCATAGCGCTTGTGCTCCAACCAAGTGCACCAGATGATGTTTAGCGGACTTTGCGGCAGCCTCCCAGAGTCCACCTTGATGGGTAGCGCTAGGCGTGATAACGTGCCAATGAGTGCCCATATTTGCTAAAGACTGCTGGTTGCCTTTGTTTTGCCATGCAACCAGCTCTTCCTGTAGTAAGCGATTGGCGCTAATGAAAGCAGGACCATTATCACTGAAAAGTTCGAGGCATGGCCCACGTCGACTGACAAATCTTGTAAACGCGTCCAGAAACGCCTGTGATGAGAGATCATCGACGACCTCAATATGTACCGCCTTCGCTACCATGCAGATGAAGATGGCCAAGTATGTCTTAACCGTGGCGCGGGAACGTTTTGCGCCAATTCGTACTGTGAATGGACCGCAATAATCGACGCTGGATGATGCAAATGGTCGTGCAGCGTTGATTCGTTTTCTCGGTAGCGATGCCATCTGCTGAGTTGGGGTCACGCCTCGATGTCGCCGACAAGTAACAAACTTCTGTATATAGCTTCTAACCGCTTGCCTACCGTTTAGTATCCAATACCGTGTGCGAAGTGTTTGAAGAACAAGCTGCGGGCCTCCATGTAGCGTTGTATGATGTGCATGCTGGATGACCAAGAGTAATAGTTCGCCGTGTTTTGGTAGGATCATCGGGAGGCGCCGATCTTCTGGCAGGTCAGCTTGCCTGATGCGACCTCTAGCTCGCAAAATGCCATTTTCATCTATGTAGGGCTTCAATGATACCAGCTTGCTGGTGGTGGGTACGCACAACCCCTTTTGAAGTTGGGCTATATCTGTAGCGAAGTAATATAACTGCTCGTTCCGAGTTAGCCTATTAAGGGCAACATCCATTTCTGCGGGGCTAACGATTGAGCTTCGCAAGTGTTGGCTGCCGGGAAGCCAGCGAAGAATAATAGCCACTGTACATTGGAGCTTTAAAATGGAACTGACCCGATCATTCAGAGCAATTGTCTGTCCGTCTCGACGTCGAGTAGTGACAACTGGCGAATAAATTTTTGTTGTAACTAGAGATGAAACCCTATGTTCACCTTGCATAATATCAAGCTCCTCATCAGTGTTGCCAGAATTTTTTGAAGAAACAAGCTAGATTGGCTCCAAAAAAAGGCTAAAAAAGGCAATTATTTTTTTTTTCGAGCTAAAAAAAAAGCTGAAAACAAAAAATCATTTTTCACTTTCTTTTTCAAATTTATTTAATTTCACACATAACAATTCGGCATAAATCTTTATATGTACATAACCATGATACAAAAATTTAAAGGATTTACTTTTAGCGTTTTAGTTGCTCTGAAAATTTAAATTTTATAAAGTAGGCAAACTTCAAAATATAAACAAAAAATATAAATTCAGCGAACGGTTTTACCTTTAGATACTTGTACCATGTACATACCTATATATAATATATGTATGTATGTATGAAAATAAAGCTATATTTTTGTTTATTTTCTAAAACATAGATTGGCGATTACACATATGTTAGTGTTTGGCCGAGCTTCTCCTCCGATTTGTGGCGTGCGCCTTGATGTTGTCACACAAAGCGGAGGGACCTACAGTTTTACGCCGACTCCGAACGGCGATTGTATCTTTATGCGAAGCTGTTTTTCATGGCAGAAATGCACTCGGAGGTTTGCCATTGCCTCCCGAGGGACGACCGCTGTTAAGAAAAAACCTTTTTCTATATTTTTTTTTAACGATGTTGCTTTGACCAGGGCTTGAACCCAGGTGCTGATGAGTGAAAGCGCGCACTGCTTACCACTACACCACAGCGGCCGACTCATATGTATATAAATCAAAAATCCCCATCACATATACTATACCTTGTCACTATAGCTGTGTTTTCGTATTCTCCAGCAAAAAATATCCAGTAACTTGCCAGTAACCTAATTTCAGAGAGTAAGCCAATATTTACTCCCAATAAGTGAAATATGCAAGAAAGTACGAAAACGCAAACCAGCAAGAAGTCACTGGTTTTATTTTCCGATACAATTTTCTTAGAAAACTAGTGTTTTCCATCTTATTGTATATTTAAATTGGTTTATTTTATCATTTGCAACTCTAAAAGCACCACAAACAACTATTTTCTTAATGTGATTTACAATAAGCATCATGCCATCAGCTGTTTTTCTTACTAGCAAATAGTTGCTAGTAAAAATTTATCCAGTAAAAATCCAGTAAAACTTGCAAGTTCAGCTGTCATTTTTGCTCTCTCAATTTCCCCTCTTTTGCTAGTTTCTTGCAAGTTTTTGCGTACGAAAACGACATCCAGTAAAAAACCTGGATTTACTGGATAGTGCGTACGCGAACAGGGCTTATATCTTGTCACTTTTGAATGTATTTCACAATCAGAATAAAAGGCCCTACTTTCATCCGAAATTTCTTCAACCGATCGCTTCGTCAAATATCTTTAACAAAAAAACCATTAAAAGAGAGAATACAATTTGAGATCTACTGAAATTTACCTATCCATTGGTTGAGGTTAAAATTAAAAAATTCGTAGCACAAAGCACAGCTCTTTTCCGACGCCACTCAGTTAAAAATACCAACTAATAGTGATACGCAAACCGGTTTGCGCTTTACGATTGTCGATAACTTTTTTGTGCTTACTATTTTCAGAGTTACCATAAACAAATTTTTTTGTGATATCTATTTATCTACAACTATTTTTAGAGTTACCATAACACATTTTTTTATGATATAAATATTATTTTCTAAATATCGATTCAATAAAGAACTTTAGTAAGAAAAAAGGCTAGAAAAGGTCAAATGAAATTAAGAAACAGCTTAAAAAAAAGCTAAAAGCTAAATCACTTATTTTGAGGTTAAATGCATTGAAAAAAAAGCTAAATTTAGCCCGAAAAAGGCCGAAGTGGCAACTCTGCTCCTCATTAGTTAGATCGACTTCTCCTGGAATGGGCACCTGGGTATCTGTCAGCCATTTCGGACCTCGCCCCCACAGTTTATGCTCAACAAGCTCGGACGCTCAAATACCTCTGCTGGCACAGTCAGCAAGATTTTGAGCCGACCGAACATGGTGCCAACAGTCTGGCGATGTTAGCTCTTGAATTTGCCGTTCGCGGTTGGAAATGAAAGGCTTGAGAGTAGTGGGTGGCTTGTGTAACCAGCACAACACAATCCGCAAATCTGACCATAAAAAATAAGGGTTATCCGTTAACCGTAAAGCAATACGTACATTGTTGAGCGTAACAGCGAGAAAATGTGCTGAACAAAGCTCCACCCAAGGAATCGTTGCCCCCTTGAGCGGAGCCACCTTAGTACGAGCTGTAACAAGTGATACAATTGGATGCCCTTCGCCATTCGTAGTTCTTGTATATATAACAGCTGCGTATGCTAGGGGACTCGCGTCGCAAAATCCGAGTAATGTAGTCGATCGACCTTCAGCCATCCCTAGCCATCGTGGAACACGAATGCGGTTGATGACGTCAAGGTCCCTGTAAAATGCGATCCACATTTCGCGAAGTGAGTCTGGTAGCGGTGCATCCCGGACTAAACCAGCCGCCCACAGCTTTTCTCATCTCAAACCAAGCACAGCAGCAGTGGAAGGTTCAATGACTAAGGCACTCCGCACATTAAACGCCTAGTCATAGTAGTGTAATCGTTCCGGCGTACTAAAGTATGAAGCTTTTATACCGAACATATGTATTTCAATGAAGCTCTGTATATTACGATTCATAATCATATTTTCGCCTAATCATAAAAACTTCATGAATCGAAGCACCCAACATTGTAAGGCGCTTGCCGTTTTGATATCGGCATTTCTTTACTTTTTTGTGCTCGAAATAAAAATTATTTGTCATTTCAGTAGATAATAATTGAAAATTAATGATTTTGTGCTAAAACTCGTGCCAATTGTATTAAGCCATAAACGTGTATGCAATATTTTATTGCAGAAATGTTCGCGGAAGTATATTAGGGAGAAAGACCGGCCAGAAAATCTGTAATGTGCGCGCAAGCAGGGCTTACGCAGGGCGCCCAAGTGTGCAGAAGTCGAGTCCTCATGCATTCGTTTTGACATGACAAAACGATTACTCTACTATGATTAGGCGCGTAATGTGCGGAGTGCCTACCTCACCACTATTAGAGTTCCATTGTCGTAGAAAGCAGAAAGAACCGCATTCACGCAAGTTCTATAGCCTTGGTTTCTGAGTCACAACTAGTCAGGAAGTCGTCAACATAAAAGGATTTCAAGACTGTGTCACGAGCTGCAATTGCTTGTTGATTGTCTGGTACCACCTTATAATTGTCGTATGCGCATTTGAGTGTGTGCGCGAACCGCATTATATGGACTGCACGCCATGCCATAAGTTATGGTTTTTAAGAGTTATACAGCGATGCCGTTACTTGTCGATTCCCTCCAAATGATTCGTTGGAAGTTCCTGTGCTTAGGAGTTACTGGCACGTGTCGGTACATCTTCTCAATATCTGCCGACAATGCGATGCGAAAGCGGCGGAACCGAAACATGATATTGATGAGCGGTTCCTGGATTGTTTCTTCTACTAACTGGATGTCGTTCAATGAGATACCGTTTGTAGTCCGCACAGAGGCATTGAATACGACGCGTAATTTTTCCGTAACCGCGTGGTGTGGGATATAATAGCAGGGTTCCTTGTCGTCTAGTGGACCAACGCGCTCCATATGGCCCAGGTCCTCGTACTCTCGCAAAGCGTGTGCGTATGAGTCGCCCAGAGGTGGGGCGCCAGCGCGAAACACTATCTGAAAAACATAGCGACCGTCCGAAGTGCGAGAGTGAGTTGCTGAAAAGTGTCGTTCGCGTTCATCGTCTCCACCACAATCTTGTGAAGGCACTTCCTCTAGCTGCCAAAAATTGCGTTCGAGCTCCTCCAACTGCATGTCCTCGCCTCGCAGCTGTGCGCTGAATGCAAGCGAGGGCAGTGCTGATATTTTCTCTGCTGATGCTGGACCGAAGACAACCCAACCGAAACGTGTGCGTTGTGGATGTGGCTCTTGCAGACCGCCGAAATTAACGTCACCTTCAACCACTTGACCCCATACATCAGCACCAACCAAAATATCGATATTGCCAGGAGTCCCGAATTGTAGATCGGCTAGCTCCGGGCTTGCTAAGTGCTGCCACTGTGTCATGTCTATATGCACTGTTGGGATGGCCGTAGTAATTGACAGGGTGACAAGCGCAGCGAGTGTCAATTCAAAGTTGGAATGAAGTAATTTCAATGTAAGCGACACGCAGCCCCATGTACGAGCGTGAGCATGTGCACCTATTCCCTCCACACGAACATCGCATTTGCTACGGCGTAAAAACAAATAATTAGCTAGTCTATGTGTGATAAAACTGACCTGTGAACCCGGGTCACAATGCACCCGAGCTAAACGCCGGGTTGTGGGTCACCGTAGGCATGTACCCGCGTAGTTGCCAATAAAACTGTACGACTTGTATAGGCAAGACAAGTGACTGACGAAGGTTCTAGTCGGGGTTCCGACTTCTTGGCCACTGTTGTAGTCAAGCTCTCTTGAGGGACTGATGCTGTGTTGGGTGATGAATTTGCGCGACAAAGTAGCGAGTTGTGCTTACGACTGCAGTGGCGACAA